TGTGTGTGTGTATATATATATATATATATATATATATATAAAATGATTGTATATATTTATGCATTAATACGATGCCATGATATGGGCAGATGGATCAATAGATGATAGATGAAAATGTGGAGTAATTAAATCAAAATGATGAACACATCCAACATATCACTACTTATTTTGTGTGTGTGGTACAAAATTTGAAATTCCTCTCTTCACAAATTTAGAGGGATGCATGGCAAAGATGTAGGAGAGGACCAGGAAATGATACCCGCACACACAGAAATCAGAAGACACACTCTAGGACAGAATGGGGTCAGTGGAGTGAGTAGGATAAGTCTGCCCAAACCAGTTCTAGGGCAAGGAATGGATTTTAAAAGACCAGGACTTTAAAGGGAGGTATGCAGGAGAACTAGCCAATCCAACACAGGGGTGGTTATGATTTATTCATTTACTTAGCAGGTATTTACTGAAACCTCACTGAGTGTCAGACACCAAGCCAGACATTAAGTAAGTTTTTCATTATTACAACTTTATAGTGTAGTTTGGAGTCTGTTGGGGTAATGGATTCTAATTTGCTGCCTTTACTGAGGACAGCTTTGGTTGTTCAGAACATTGTAAAGGGAGAAGTTAAATTATCATTATTTGCAGATGACGTGATTCTTTACATACCTGGAAGACCTCAAAAGATGTACAGACTTAATAACAAAATTCAGCCACTTAGCTGAATACAAAGTCAACAGTCGAAAATCAATAGCATTCCTGTACACAAAAACAAATTTACTGAGAGAGAAATCAGAGAGAACACACCGTTGACAACAGCATCCCCAAAATATGAAATACTAACAAAGGAAGTGAAAGATCTCTACATTGAAAGTGATAGGACTCTGAAAAAGGAGATCAAATAGGGTATCAGAAAATGGAAATGTATCCCCTGCTCTTGGGTAGGAAGAACTAACATACTTTCCAAATTGTTATACAGATTCAATGCAGTCTTAATCAAAATACCACTAACATACCTCACAGAATTAGAGAACACAATCCTAATATTTATTTGGAACCAGAAAAGACCTAGAATAGCAAAAGCAATTGTGGGCATCAAAGGCAGGTAGCATCACAATCCCTAACTTGAAATTCTACTACAAAGCTACTGTGGGAAAACAGCATGGTACTAGAAGAAAAATAGATCAAAAGGTCAGTGGAACAGATTAGAAGATGCAGAAACAACTCCAAACACACTCAGCCACCTTATCTTTGACAAAGGCGCCAAACACCTTCACTGGAAGAAAGATAGCCTATTAAATAAAAGGTGCTAGGATAGCCTTTCCACACATCAAAGAATAAAACTAGACTAATGTCTACCCATGCACTAAGCTAAAATGAAGATTGGTCAAGGATCTAAATATTCACAGAAAAACAAAGAAATACTAAATCTACTGAAAGATGTAATAGGTAGAACTTTTGAAGACATAGGTATAGGTAGAGACATCATAAGCAAAGCCCACACCACATGGGAAATACCACAAGGAATCAGTAACTGGGATCTCACCTTATTAAAAGGCTTTTGCATTATGTGTTGGTTTGGGGGTTATTTTTGCAAGGGGAACAAATCAATACAGGATGCATATTTTATAAGATTATTTATAATAGTCACCCAAAAAAATGATATACCTAAGAGTGTGCAGGAAATCTGTCCACACACTATAGACCAGGAACCCAGCTGAAGGCCTGGATCTCTAAATAATGTCCTGCACAAGGCCGGCTGAAGACCTAGAGCTCATAACAATGCCTCCCAGGAGTCCCCCTGGAGACCTAGAGCCCATAACAATTTGTCATACAGGCCTGTTTCATGAGAATCTGCGCTGAGAAGGCCCAAAGGTCAGTGGTGGAATCTACAAAGTCTGTGCCAGCAGAATGAAGGATCTGTGCTAGCAGCCTGAGGGATCTGCACTGGACCCAGGAAGTGAGGCTCAGAAGAACCAGAGCTCTCCGAAAAGGTACCATAGCCATCCTTGGCAACAGTGAGGTTCCGAGCTCCTCCGATGATCAGGATGGCGGAGTTCCCATTAGGGAAGCCAACGCAGCAAGCTTTTCCAGGAGGCCAGCAGTGCACCATCTTCCCCTCTGGATCCAGGAAATGATGCTCAGACTGAGGACTAGAGCTTCACCAAAGTGAACCAAAGCTATTCTTAGTGCCAGCAAGGTCCTGAGCTCCTCAGAGGATGAAAACAGCCAAGTTCACCAGGAAAGCCAGCATGACGAACTCCTCCAAGAGAAGCAACAGCTCTTCACAGCTTCTACCAGCTCCCAACAGCCTCCCTTCTTCTCCGGTTCTGCCTCTTATGCCACTGGTAAGAGGTGGGCCTCCCGCGCTCAGCACCATGCTTACTCAGTTCAGCTGGGGGTTATAAGCTGATGACCAGGTGTCAATCTACTACAGTTATATAGTTTTAGAAGCAAGTTTTAAGGAAGAAACAGGACCAAAAATTAACAGAATATTCTGACATCAAAAGCCTTTATATATAGAATAATAATCCTTTTCCCATAGCCTCAAAGCATTTCCTAAAGTTCCAAGATAAGTCCTTTTATGACTCAAGGCAAACTCGTAGCTGTGAACTCTGTAACAGTAACAAACAAGTTACAAAATCTCAACAAGGTACAATGGCACGAGGTAAACACTCCCAACCCAAAAGGATAGAATAGGGTCATGGAATCGGAGGAAAGCAAGACTGACACCTAACATGGCAAACTTTAAGCCCCGCAGTTCCTTATGCAGCGTGCAAGGTACATGGTAATAAAATATGAGTTGCAGAGCTCACCTTACCGCTAGTTACAGCCCACTGGCATTACTCTTGGGTTCGCTCTGATCATGCCCTGTGGATTTTCTCTGCAGATATTCACTTTCCTGGCATCTCTAACTTTGGAGTGCATTGTGCCTTTGATTTCCTTACCGTAGATTCAGACTCTGTCTCCCCAGGGACCTCTTTCCTGGCGTCCCTGGCCCTCTTCTGAGATCTGGGTGGAGGCCCTCTGGCCAGCAACTCTTGCATTTTGTGTAGTGGTAAAACCATCATCGCCTGGGGGCTCCAAGGCCTGCTGTCAGAAGGAGCCACAGTCTGGTCCCCCTGGACAAGAGTGGAGCGGACACTGAGTGCCAAGGTACCTCAGCAATGGGAAATGAGTCCCCGCAACCATTTCCCTGAGAGGCCCTTCTCAAGTAGGGGACCAGGGATGCTCTTATCAAAAGTTTTATACATTTTTTTCCCTCATCTAATAATGGGTGGGGTTTTGCTGATTTGTGAGCTTCTCCCAAGACCTCTTTTCTGTTGATATTGTAGAAAATACACTAATCCTCAGGAAATACAATTCTGTTATCTACATCTTTACACACAGTTTATTTTGGGTTAATTTTGTGGTTTTTTTTTAATTTTTTTTTGCTTTGTTTTTCCTCATTTCTCACTATACAGCTGTCTAAAAGCAGCTAGGTTTTTATGCTTCACAACCCTTGTTTATTGGGCTGCTTTGAAATTTCCTTTCAAGAAATCAGTCTAATGAATTTCCTGTCAATCTTCTGCAAGGTCTTAGCACATGGGAGAAATGTAAACATCTCATCCTTATCCTTATTCCCCAGAGTGTAACTGCCAATGGAGTCCTCGTTCCCATCTAAAACCTGCTGATCCTGATGCATTCTGTTCATACCCCATCAGCATTCCGGTTGCCTCAGCTATGAGTAGCATCACTCATTTAATTTCCCATATAGCATTCTAGAGTTGCTCTGCCCTTCATTTGCAAAACTTTCTAAACACTTCCTGAAAACCAGTTCCAAAGGTCTCCAAAACACATAGCAGGGTATGCGTGCAGAAATAAGCACACTTCTCTATTACTATTTATTCAAACTACTTGATACGTTCAGTGTAAAGAGAAAGGCTAATTTTGTTCACGGTTTCAGAAAGCTCAGCTCACCCATAGTTAGCTCCAAGGCAAGGACATGGTGGCCGAAGGTGATCTGGACCAGCAGGGCTTAATTCACACCCTGGGGAAGGGGAGCAGAGGACGCCGGCAGAGCTAGGGCAGGCAGGACCTGTTACTCAAGGTCAGGCCATAGTGACCCATCCGAAGGCACCCAAAAGGGAGCTGTCTAATCCTCTAGGTGCTTTCAAGACAATCCTGATAATAATTAAGCTTAATCACCACAGAAATTAAAATGTTCCTGGAAAGAAATGACCATCAACTTCACATGTAAATTCACAAGGGATGCTAATGAACATTTTTAGATATTGTGGACAGATAATCAACTACCATATGCAGTGTGCAAAATTATTATCTCAGAAATGGTAATGATCATATCAGATTATTCACTCCTTCATCACCTCCTCTCATGAACATGGGACTAGAGAATAAGGTCTAAAAAATCAGTCACACTATGGGTTCTGACAGCACAATATGTATTTTGAGAACATCCCTGCTATCAGTATTTTTACAGAATAAAGTAAGCATAAGAGCAGTGCTTACCTTTTTCAGTCCTGTAGGCATCACTCCTTAATAGTAATATATTTGATTAGTTTATTTGTTATCTTTTGAAGAAAGTAAAACAAAATTTCATAACAATATAAGAGAAGAATAACAAGAGTTAATACTCTGAGTATTGTTATCATTAAAGTAGTTAATTAGCGTACAAGGTGTGAGCTTATATAATTCTCCAAATTATATTAACACAAACCTTTTTTCTCAATGAATTAAGAGAAGCTAGTAGTATAACTACTGACTTTATTTTTATTAGAAGGAAAGTGTATGACTCTACCTACACAGATGAAGTTAGCAAAACTAAATTGCGATTGTGTGCAACTTTCCAAATACACAAACAGTGGTCCTTGGTTACATTGTACAACTTTTTTTTCTGCACCAAAAATGCAATATCTATGAATCTCTGTATGTTTTTAGGTGTTCTGTAAATATTCCTTAGAGCAATATTAACAAATTGTCTGTTTGATCCTCTGAACTTTAAAAATAATGTTTGGATCCAGAAACATTTATTTGTCACTTGGAAAAATTTTTCTTTTTTTTTTTTTTTTTTTGGTTTTTCTCCGGTACCGGGAACTGAACTCATGACCTTGCTCTTGCCAGGCAGGCGCTTTGCCGCTGAGCTAAATCCCCAGCCCCTGGAAAAATTTTTCTATCAAAAGAATTCCTAATCACATTTTTCATCTGAGCATTTCTAAAAGTATAGATCAGAGGCTTTAACATGGGAGTTATCACGGTGTAGAAGACGGCAGCTGCTTTGTCAATGGGGAGAGTCATTGCAGGTCTCATGTACACAAATATGAAGGGCACAAAGAACAAGACGACCACCGTGATGTGGGAGGCACAGGTGGAGACGGCTTTCTGCCTCCCCACCACACTGTGGGTCTTTAAGGAGAAGAGAATGACCACGTAGGACAGCAGGAGAACCAGGAAATTTAACAGACAGATGAAGCCACTGTTGGCAGCAAAGAAGAACCCCAGAATGTGGGTGTCAGTGCAGACCAGCTTGAGCAGAGGGTTCAGATCACACATAAAGTGATCTATGACACTCAGGCCACAGAAAGGGAGTGGCAAGATGAAGAGGATCTGAATGCTTCCGTGAAGAAAGCCTCCCACCCACGACACTCCCACTAGCAGGCTGCACACTCTCCAGTTCATGATGGTTGTGTAGTGCAGCGGCTTGCAGATGGCCACATAGAGGTCATAGGCCATCACAGTCAGCAGGACGACCTCAGCACCACCCATGAAATGTTCTGCAAAGACTTGAGCCATGCATGCGTTGAAGAGGGTGGTCTTCTTTGCAGGCAGTGAGTCGGTAATCATTTTCGGGGTATTGACTGAGGAGTAGCAGGCATCAACAAAGGAGAGATGGGCCAAGAAAAAGTACAAGGGGGACTTCCGTAAGGGGCTGACAATGATGTGATAAGGATGAGCACATTTCCTACCATGGAGATGACATAGATGAGCAAACACACTGCAAATACTATCTTCTGCATCTTTGGGTTTCTGTGAGCCCCAGTAGAATGAATTCAGTTACATTGTTTTTATTTGCCATGTACTTAATGTTGAAATTAATTCTATTACCTGAAAAATGTTAACACTACATCCTTTAATTCAATAAACTTCTTCATCTTAGTCAATAATAAATGCCTAGATTCTACTGAGTTGTGAACTTGCATACATTTCCTAGGTTTTTGTTTCATTTTGTTTTTTGAAATAAAATGAAGAGCTGTAAATTCTTGTGTATTACTCAAGATTTCTTCTGGATGAAAAGTCTGCAGAGGATATTCATGAGGAACTCGTGTAAACCCACAAGACAGGACACAAATTAAGTCCACTTAATTGAGATGATTAAGAGTCTAAATTGAAGTAATAGTTTTCAAACACTGTGGCTAGCAGAGGAAGTAGAGAGAGGATGACATAGTCATCGATGCAAAAGACACTGTTACCCGTTATTACTAAGAAATGGGGTCCCTTGGAAGGAATTGAGAAAATCAGGTAAAAAGGTAACATGAAATTTGAAGAAGTGCAAATCCTGAATGCTGCTCTACTAAATGTCTTCCTTTCTTTTGTGTGTATCCATGTTAAGTTTAGTGATAGGAGGAAGCCAAAAGCAGGAGCCTCAGTTCTGTAAACATGTAACAGTTCATGTAAACAGGAGTGGGAATGGGGAGTGAGGAGAATGCAAGGAGAGTATGAAAAAGCTATGTAAAATAATTTTAATACTTTTCTTTATGTACCATATAATTTGTTATTACTATAGTAAAACTTTCAATGTTTATTCTATGTACACCTTGGTACCAAGTGTTTGGCAGACAGGATTCCCTTCAATATTTAGGATAACCTGTGTGGTTGGTGCTATTTACTGCATTTTACAGGTACAGAGTCTTTCAGAGTCTAATGTATATTGTTAAAGTGACAATGACAATCTTAACTGACACCTGTTGAGGGTGTCATGTATTCTAAGTGCTCCCTCAAATACTGGCTTCATCCTCACTAAAAACATGCTATCAAGTTAACACTGACATTTTTTACCTATCTTTAATTTATTTTACTTCTAAGAGATGCCCAAAGATGTCCAAGATCCTGTTTCAAGAAAGGTAGGAATATATAGCACAGCCAAGAATCACAATCAGGGTTTTTTAATCTGTAGTTCTCTAATTTCTAATTTATATTTTCCTTTAGGTTCTTAACCTGAATCTATCTACCCCACATTGTCATGTTAGAATAAACAATAATAATGTAATCTTGTTAAGTAGGTCCATCGTGATTATTATTCTATTCATACTTCTTGAAAAGGAAATTTAGTGCTTTGTACAGAAAAGTGATGATATATTTCATGTGCAAAGTATTAACAAAATGAATCTTGACCTGTTCTTAGGCTCATTGTGTGAACCCAGAGTCTGCTGAGGTTATTTGAAAACATTTATCAGCATGGCGAAGTACACGGGTTTAAGAGTGACGGGAGTTAGGATGCTGAAATCAGAATCTTTCTGCTTCCATTTGGAATTTCTCATACCTGGGTATATTTCCTGGCACTTTGCACACCTGTGTCATTATGTAGAAAGTCTTACTGAGAATACAGCTTCACACTCATTATGAGAATTGAAAACATAAAACATAGTTCTGGGAACACATTTATTTCTATGTCTATGCTCACATTCAACAAAGGAGCAGACCCAACTGTTTGAATAATAAAATAAACATTTTACTGTCATAAGCTCAGAAGTTCTCATCCAACATTTATAGAAGCCATAAAGAAGTTTCTTAGCAGTTGACCCCAAAAAGAATTCTCCATATTAGGGCTTGAACTCACCAGTGAATGACTTCCATCACTTAATATTAATACAGAGAAGTTTTGTGCATTCTAGGTTTGCTCAAAATTTGTTTTTATGCTCAAAATTAGTATTGGTTAGTAAATGAGATTGTGCAGGAGAAAATGCTGTTTCTTTATTTTAGAGAAGTGAGTCTTATAAGTTGCTTTCTGTCTTTGAGTCTCTGTTCAGTGTGAAATTGGTTGGTGATATTTACTAGCTATCATTTAAGAACTTGGAGTGGTGTAATACCCTGTGATTATCTTTGATAGATGTAATGATTGCTCTATTTGAGAAAATAACACTTAAATAAACAATAGCAAAGTTTAAATCCTACCTTCACACTCTTAGATGATTTCCATATTATTCGGGCACTTTAGAAACAATTCCATCTTCAACATGACCTTGTACAATAACAATCTTTCAGTAAAAAAGAAATCATGCATTTGCAAGTAAATTATTTGGGAAATTCTATATCAAATACACAAAAAGGTGCCATTATAAATCTAAAGTCAAAAATTCGTATCTAAAGCCTAAAAATATTTTCACAAAATACTGGCACTGAAATTTGGTATGGATCCTCCTTATATACTATAGTAAAATGGTCTTAGTTATGTGACTCTGGTCCTGCAGTGAAAGTTTGAAGGAAAAATTTTCAAACCATTCATGTACTCAGGATGAACGTTGCTGTAGATGTGTGAACTACCACAAAAAATATTTTCACCTTGCAGTTTAAGACTATTTAAAGTGGTCTAAATAAGGATGGAGAGATCTTGACTTGCATGTCTATTTTCTCTCCCAGGAGTTAATTATCCCCTTTGATGAAAGAGGACTTTGTCCAGAGAAACATGCTAGAGGTCACCCACTCTTGAATGGGAATTCCATTACCTGAACTTGCAACATGTACATGGGAGAGGCCCCTTCCTATAGAAAAACTTACGTAGTTAGAGAAGTTAAGTGTGGTATGAATAATGTGGTGGTGTCACTCAAGCTGTCAGATTAGTAGTCTAGTTCTCCTGGCCACACTTACCACAGGTGGAACCTCTTCCTCTCACCAATAATAAAACACTTCTGAAAATCCACTGTCGATTGCTTGGAGAGCTGAAGCTGTGAGGGCTTAAAATTAAAGACAGCCATTTAAAAATACGTAACTTTGAATTCTGCATTTCCTATCTCTGAGTGTTTTGGAAGTAGCCAGAAACCCTAGAAGGCTCCATGTTACAGTCAATCCTGGGGTCCCACGGCCTGGTCAGTATAGAGCTCTGCTGGAGAGCTACTTAAATACCTGAAGACAGTTCTCGTCATGGCAGTGTGGGTTACTTGTTCTTGTACCACACTGGTAAAATATTGTGGTTTTGATTTGAAAGCTCCTGATGCCTGACAAAATTGTATACATTTCCATATATTACTGGCCTACAGTATATCATCTTCTGTGCGGTCTCCATGTATGCCTTTGATTAACTTAAAAGTAGTGAGTCTCAGTTCCTTATGTAGATTTAGTGTCAGCATATTTCAGATACACATCTTCTACTGTGTTTATAATTTGTAACTATGTATGTATGTATGTAATTTACCTCAAGTAAGTGTATTGAAATTTCACTTTTAAGACCACTTCTTAGAAGTACAAATAACACTCAAAAGTTTCCATGTATAATACCTACAACTTCTTTGTTCTGGAGATACGTACACCTATGCAATATTGTCACACAATCAATGCAATAATTGCCTCCAGTTACCTCTCCAATTGCTTCACAAAGTGACCTCCTACTTTCATTACTTTTATTATTATTTTTCGTTGTCTTGTTAAGAACACCTAACAGAACGTCTATTTTCTCAACAAAATTTTATGTGTCCTCAGCAATACTGATATAGGCTCAATGTGATGGCATGTGCATCTTTACAATTTACTTGTCATGTGTAACCAAGGCCTTCCACTCTCTGACTCACATCTCACCATCCCCTTCAGCCAGGTCAAGAACATTGCCATTTGTCTCTCTGAGTCTATGCATTAGATTGATTTAGATTGATCCTACCAAGGGTATCATGCCCTATTTGACCTTCTGTGTCTGGTGTATTTTTCTTGGCATAATATTCTCTATGGTCATTCCAAGTTGCTCATGGACAGATTTTCTTCAACTTTAAGACCAACTAATGTTCCATTTATATCTTTATATAACTTATTTTTATCCATCATCTGCAAGTGGACATGTAAATTTCTTCCACATCTTGGCTCCTGCTCAAAATGTGTATCAGACTGAAAGTCTGTTTTTCTTCCCTAAAAGACACAAGAAATTTAACACAAAAGGAACAAGTAACCTCAATAAATTGGCAAGTGATCTGGATCGACCCTTCCTAAGAGACGTTCAGGTGGCCAATTTGTAAACTTAGCCACCATGGAAATGCCAATTAAAACTACTTTGAGATGCTGCCTCATCCCAGTCAAATGGCTGTTATCAAGCATACAAAGAAGTAATAAATGCTGATGAGAATTCATGGGATAAAGATGCCTTATACAGTGTTGGTAGAAATGTAAATTATTACAGACTGTGTAAAAGATTATAGATCAGTGGTGGCGAATCTGTGACACTAGTACCACAGCAGGTTGTTTGTTACCATTGAAAGCTCTAAAAGGTTTGCCATTACTGGTAGAGATGTTTCTTGAAAAAACTAAAAAGAGAGTTACCATTTAATCCAGCTATCCAACTTATCATTGTATGCCCAAATGAATCAAATCATCATATTATAGACATACAGTGGTACCTTGGCTTAAGAATTTATCTTCCTTTATGACCTAGATGAAAATGGCTGCATTTGTGTTTGACAATAGAAAAAAGGCCAACATCAAGATTTTTCTGTTGGGAACAAGGACTCCATTGGCAGCTTAGAAGCTATACGTGTTATACATTGCAGCATCTATATTTTCCCCATGTTTGAGACCTTGTAGGAGACTGAGATAAGGTCAGTAGCCTAATTAATCCAGTAGAACTACCTTCAAGGAGGCCCAACACTCAGATTGTAACATGGCTCCTGCTGGCTGTTTTCAGCCAGATTTATGGTGAGACTCAGAGGCAAAATCAAAAGCACAAAAGAAAATTCAGAAAGGACCATTTATAAACTTGGGGCCATTATAACCTTTATAAATTTGTAAACAGAAGAGATGTGGTTGCTGAAGAGGTTAAAGAGAAGTCATGGACGTTGTACAAGGACAGGAAAACATATGCCTTGAGAGCATTTCAGAAAT